AGCGGACAGTTTGATTTTTGTGTTTGGAGCTAGTTATAAAGAATCAATATTATATCAAGGGGTAACTTTCGTGATAAAGGACTTTAACCACTCCGGCTATTCATCATAAGTCTGTAGCAAGCAGATAGGTCAAAAGAAATTATATTGCAGTAAAGACTGTGTCGTCTTATCTCTCCCTTACCAGGGGACTAAAGCACAAGGCGATCGATACAGTAGCTGCTGTATACTTCTTGCAATTATCAATAGCTGATTTCGTCTTTTGAGGCCTGCATCTATTAATACAAGCTAATAATAATCATTTAACCATACCTATAGGCAAGGGACTCCCAGTTTTAACTTCCCAGCTGTATTTATGTAATCATACATGCTGACATGCACCCCAGCCTGATTCACGTACAGCCCAGAGATCACAAGAAAAGGGTTTTGAACGTCGTTTGCATCCGTAGGTATGAAGACGAATGGCTGTCCGGATGCTTCCCTGAGTATTGCATGGAAAGCCTATGGAATGCTTACCTGTGGTGCTGGCCTCCACGGGAGGCGGCTCTGCACAGCATCCTGTAATTAACACACTAGCGCTGGCTTACGGAGCCCAGGACCACGAAGGGTTTGTATAGTGTGCACTCGGCTCCCACCTATTGAAAATATTTAGACATATTTATCCTACTGGCTTTGAAGGCAAAGGGGATGGCAGGTGGAGTTGAGTCGAGTGTGGGCATTTCCTATGCACTGGTTTCTCTAAATAAGGCTTGTCCATTCGTATGGGGAGTGGATCTTCATGGGGGGTGAACAAGAAGCTTGGAACACCGCTTTGGGAAAAAGAAAAAGAAACCATAAACAATTTTTGGCTACATGTTTCCCCCCCACCAAAAAAAAAAAAAAAAAACCTGTAGTAGAAAAGTAACATCTTTATAATTGGTACTTGACATGTGGTCAGGGCTGGGCTGTGGTACACTAAGCACCCAGTTCCTTTTGATGGAAGCATTTATCATCATGATTGTTCCAAAGTGGCAGGTGGTGTTATCAATTACCTCTTCTTACCAATAATAATATTAGTATGGTAATATCTTTGCTCAAGTGAGAACCAATTAGCGGTCACTTGTCACAGCATTAAAGCCTCAAACTCAAGCTGGATTTAACCCTAAGGACCTAAAACAAAAGTTGGGGGTGGAGGAGGAACCAAAGAGAAAGGGGTGGGGAGGAAGGCCAGTGAGTTAAAGAAAAGAACTTTGATTTAAAAGAAAAGAATGAAAGGAAATAGAAAATAAAGCCCTAATATTTGAATACTCTTTTTGTATTAAGTGGCTGGGGGGGGGGGGGATGAGAAGGGAGAGAGGAATGGAAGCCTATTGTAAACAAAGTATCAAATATACCCAAAATAAAACTGTTTTTTTGTGGTCTAAAGCCAGGTAGCTTCAATAAAATGTTTTGTGACATTAAAATTAGAGCTAACCAATTCAACCTCTCCTTGTCAAATCAATCTTACAGATAAGCTTTCTGTTGCATCTGAATAAATGATACAAATTAAATCAAACACCTAATTATATGTTTCACTAATGTAAAATATACAGTATTAATTTGTAAATAATATTATTAAGCAGACAAAATAATAAGGTGTCGCCTCTTAAAATGAAAACACCATTGCAAGAGGAAAAGACAATTAACAAATTAGATTTAATTACAGGGAAGAAAAGCAACTTTTGTTTTTGCGATCGTATTTAGGTATTGCAATATTTTAATAGACAGCGGTCATGTGATAGATAGCGAGTGTGCGCCTTGCGCCTGGGGCAGTATCCGCTTCTTCGATGTTTCAGTCCGCGGGTACAGATGTGCCCGGTATACACCCTGGCTAGTTTCTCAGCTTGAAAATATTCAATTGACACATATCACTTTGCAATCAATCTATTGCTGGGCGTCAAACTTAAGACGTTCACGTTTCCATTAAAACTTGTCGCTTGGAACAAAATAAGTTTCCGGTGTGAGTGGAGGAAGCGAGCGGAGGGAGGGAGGGAGCAGGTAAGTTAGGAAGTATCGCGCCTTTTATTTGCGGCATTTATCTATTTTTTTATTATTGATCTTGTTTACCCCAGTCCAGGAGAAAGGAAAGCTCTGCGTAACTTAACTTCTTTGCACCGGCTCAATGTGGGGAGGGGGTGGGGCGGGGACGTTTGCAGGGGCCGCTTCACAGCTGGCCTTTGCTTCAGTCTTGGCTTGATTTTCTCAAGGAGAACCCAGCTCAGACCGCTCCCAGGCCACAGTGGAACCTGTCACTTGGTCCGGCCCGCTCAAGCCTGCGCCGCCTTCACGCGAAGCTGGTGCTCCGCTGCTCCTCCGAGTTGCGCCCGCTCCCTCGAGCCACCGCGTCCACGGAGCCCAAGGGTCCGCCAGCTCCCCTGCTCGTGATCACATTACACCACGACCTGCGCATCCCGTCATCTAAGGGCTGCTGCGCCAGGTAAAGGGCCAGCATCTCCGACTTGCCTTCATGGGACTGCGTGAAAACACCCTGCCCACGAGACCACACCTCGTAGGAAATGCAAAGACAGTAACGAAATCAAACCACTGTGTGTGAAAGTCCCCGGAATCCTTGTAGTGGGGAGGGGTTGGGAAGGGCGGTGCACGAGTGGGCCTGAAGCTGCCGGGAAAGGTGGGCGCGCGTTGGCCAAGTGACCTGAAGAGCCCGCGTTGGTGTGTTGGTGGCTGAGGGGTAACGGCTCCCCACTGACTGAACGCGCTTTGGGAGTCTGTGTTAGTTTCTCCTCCCCAGTATGTATCCGTTCAAAAGGAAGAAAAAAGAAAGAAAAAAGATGAGTATTAACCATGTCAAAAATACACAATGCGCCTTTAACCAGAGGTCGTCACACCGGTGACCGTCGAACGCTTTTTGGTTTGGTTTGGTTGTTCTTTGTTGTTGTTGGTTTTGCTTCTAGAAAGTAATCGCAGGCGCTTGCGACTTCCCCAAACTGTCGGTACAGTGGATTCTGCAACAAACTCCATTCTTCACAGCCGCCCTCCTCACCCCTCCTTCACGCGCGCGCGCGCGCGCGCGCGCGAATACAGACACACACGCCCCCTTCTCCCCCCTTCCCCTTCTCAGGGTCCCTTTTTCCCAGAAAACTTCCTGCACCCGCTGTCCCCAAAGCCCCGCTGCAAACTTTTCTGAGCCACATCCCAGAAAGGGTCGAAAAGGCTCACAAGTTTTGCAACAAACAGACCAAGGCATAATGGCAACAGACGCTCTCCGGTAGCTTAACTAGAAAATCTTTTTCCGTGTGTTTGACAAAAAAGGCGAATCTAAATTTCCAACATCTTTTATTTGCCTTTTCTTTTTAAAGAAAACCACCTAAATGACTACGACGCCACCCAAAAGAAAAGACACGGAAACAAAAGCCAGCCTTCGTGGCTATCGATACACTTTTTTGGCAAAGGACGGTGGAGACAGTGGAGGCGATGACCGCCAGTGGGCTTCTTTCTACCGCTTGTTTCTCACAAGCGTAATGAGCCAGAAGCTGTTGCTTCCAGAAACTTACACTTACAAGCAGGAGAGCTCAGGGTGGGCAGCAAGAAGATTGTAGAACACAGAGGAGCAGTGCCGGCCGGGCCCGCTGGGGAGGGGGGGGAGGGGGGTGTAGAGGGAGGGGACGCCCTAGCCAGGCAGGCCCCAGGCCCCGCGGGGAGCTTGCAGCCGTCTGCCCAGCGATGGCTGTCACCGCCCGCCTGAGGCCAGAGAGTGCAGACTTCACAGCACGCAGGAAAACTTGTGCGGACACAACCTAGCCATGTGCAAACACACGCTGGGCGAGGGCGAGGTGGCAGCGGCGCGGCGGAGGCACCGCGGTCCCGGCGGCTGCTCCAGGGCTGGTGGCCTGCGCGCGGGAGACGCGCGTGCCAGGCCGCGCGGGGGTTCCGGGCTAGACGCGCGCATGAAGGGCGTGCCCACGTCAGGCGCGCGGGAGGGTGAAGACTGCCGCCCCTCGCTGTCCCGCACCGGCCCCGCATCCCTGCAGTGGGCAGCGGGCCCCACTCGGCGGCCCGGGGCCCGCGCCTCACTTTTCAGCACTTGGAACTTAGCTTCTCGGCTTCCGCTCTCAGGACTCGGGCCACGGTCCGGCCAGGCGGGGAGGGGCGTGCGGGCCGCCCTCCGCACCTCCCCCAGCATTTAAGGCGGTGGCGGGACCGGCCGGGCGGGGCGGGAG